GGCCGTCCGGGGGGAGAAGAAATGCCTCAACGGGGGCTGTGGGGTGACTGAGGAAGAGGAGGAGGAGGAGGACGAGCGGGAGGACTCGGAAGAGGAGGAGAGCGGGCTGAAGCTGAAGAAGGTGAGCTTCATCGAGAAAGCCGAGCGCAAGGCGGGCGAGCTGAGCCTGCAGGAGGCGAGCTTCCTGGAGGAAGGAAGCCCGACCATGGTGGAGAAGGGCATGGACCCGGCCTCGGTCTTCCAGCTGGGCGAGGATGATGATGATGAAGAGGAGGAGGAGGAGAGCGAGGGTGGCCCCCTCCGGGCCCCGGCCGAGGCCAGGGACCCCGCTCTGGTCCTACGGGGTCCCCAGGCCCCCAAAAACCCCGGCGGGGAAGATGATGACAACGAAGAGGAGGAGGAGGAAGAAGAAGAAGAGGAGGAAGAGAGGAGGCAGCACCAGCAGCAGCGGCGGCGCCACCGGAAGGCCACGCGGACCTCGTGGATCGACCCGCCCAAGGAGACCTTCACCCCCCGGCTGGCCCAGGCCGAAGTGGAGAGTTGCATGAAGAAGTATGAGGTGGGTGAGAGGGACCTCCTGCCCGTTCCGGGGTTGGCGTGGTCCTGTGGTCGGATGCGGAAGCCTATCAGGATAGGGGGCAGGATTGCTAAGGGTCTGTTTCTCTCCCCCCCACGGGACCTGTGGGTCCCCCCAGAAGTGGCCTTATGTCTCCCAACCTGTCGCTTATCTGAAAATATTAAAAATAGTCAAAACTCACAGAGTTTTGACTATTTTTGAATACAGTGAGTCGAGCAGAGATGTCCAGCGCCCCGTCTTGCCCGGTTATTTTTGATTCCTTTCGGCCTGCTTCGCCCGATACTGTGGCCAGGACGCTTGATCGCTGTCGTGCCACCACCTCTTCTTTGGACCCTTGTCCGGCCTGGCTAATCAAGGCAGCCAGGCCTTTAACAACGGAATGGGCTACTGTAATAATTAATGCGTCTTTCCTTGAGGGCAGATTTCCTTCTGCCCTCAAGGATACACTCATTAGGCCCATAAGAAAGAAACCTAGTTTGGCGGCGGACGAAATTGGCAACTA